CTGACCCCGGGTATTGGACAAGAGCGCGGGTCGCAACAGTGGCTGAGCGGGCGTGCGGTTGTTGGGTGGCCCGTGAGACGCCTATCGCAGTCTGACGGGCGATTGTCTCGAATACAATCGACGCTTGCCGTCTTCTCGAAGGCTGCCGTGTGTGTGCGTGCGTGCAAGACAGACGACGACTAACAGACGGGCTTGCTGCAGCGCTCGGTGCGCGGCACGGTACTGTCGCCTCAACGGCGGCTGGTAGTGGTAGACTCGACGAGGGCTCGAGCGGGATTGCTGTCGATCACACTGGTAGATGGACCGAGATGGCGATGGACGGGCTAGTGAGTACGTCGTGTTGGGAGACGTTGTATTGGGGGTAAGAGAGGTCGTGAGTGAGTGTGAAGGAGTCACGATAATATGGGAGAGTGACAGAAGAGAGGGAGGGAGAGCAAGAAAAGAGCAGATCAGAGGTAGGACACCCTCAAGGGTTGGGCGGCCCGAGGAGGTGGGAGGGTATTATACACGGGCGCAGATCGACCTGGACCGGGCGTTTTCCTGGGGGGTGGACGAGAAAGTGGAGGCGGTCGTGGTGGTGGTGGAGGAGGAGGAGGAGCAGGACGGGAGGACCGAGGAGTGGAGGGAGCTGGAGGGGACGAGACGAGGGCGTGAGGGTCTGCGCTGCTGCTGCGCTGAGGTGGTTTCTGGACCCGGCGCTAGAGGCCGTTGGGCGCAGCAGAGGCGGCGCGGAGGCGTCTGGGCCAGTCCAGGGCCTTTCAGGTCCTCGAGGTCGCCATTTATGGCGTTCTTACACCACTGGCTCGCGCTGGCCGAAGCTGCTGGGTGGTAGCACTGGGTGGTGCGCCTCCAGTCTCGAGTCCCCCCATTCGCCAGGTCCAGCTGGTCGACATTCCATGGAGCACAGCACTGCACAGCATAGCACAGCACAGCGCAGCACGGCCCCGTGCTCCATCCCGTCCTGTCGGACACTCGCCGTCCAAGCCGTGCAAGTATCTTCTGCAAGCACAGCACGACGGGTGCCGCTCCCGCAGCATCCACCCCCCACCTCCCTCTCTCCCTCGTCCGGCTCCCCGTCCATGGATGGGCACCGGCGCCCCAATCCCAGGCAGGCAGCGTTAGCACGGGGCGGCCGCGCGGGCGCACCTTTACCTCACCAGCTCGAACCCATGGCGCGCCGCCTCCTACCAGACGGTACGTGGTACAAACAAGCATCCATCTATCCGTCTTTCCGTCAGACTCGACCGCGCCCTCCCATGCCCCCGTCGAACCCCCCCCTCTCCCCGCCCTTGAGATGTGGCTGCCGCCCCCAGATGGGCAGAATGTTTTACACACGCTGACGGCTTGGCATGAAAGGGATTGCTCGCTGTAGCACACGCGCACACACGACAAAACGGTCGAGGGGGGCGGACGGACCGCCCAAAATAACCTGTAACTCGGCCGTCGCAGGAGAAGACGAGATGCATGGAGGGATGGACACATGGGACAGTCCCCGTCCTGCTCCACCCTCGCTCGCATCATGGGCCGCCCCATTGATTGATGGATCCCCCAGCACCGCTTCAGCCCTGTGGCCGAGCATGGTTGTGGACCGGCATCCCATCCGTCAATGCTCCTCCAGTCAGTCAGTCAATCAGTCGCGCGTGGCCGCTGCCCTTTCTCCGCGGCTAGGACGGACGGCGGACGGACAGGCTCCCCCCAATGGAGAGAGATGACGGGCGGCCCGACACGAGGGTTTTCCCGCCCCCAAGTCGGTAATTTACAGTGCCTCGTACAGAGTCCGGACATATGCGAGCCTTTGCCTCGCCGCGGTTCCGCAAGTTAGTCACTATTTCGTATACGCAAGCAAGCAATCGATCGCAGACCGCACGAGGGCGCGTGCTTCGCGCCTCGGGAGAGCCGCGCCGCTGCCGCCTGGGGTGAAACGACGACATTCTCGCCTCGTCAACGGCGTCCGCGGCCCCAGTCTTCCCCCGTCTGCTCTCCATCGCGACTCAGGCACACGTCTCGAGACCCCTACAAGGACCACAAGGCAGCGGGCAAACCCAAAACGGCTTCGGGAAGTACTCGTGATAGTGGGCCGGTGCCCATGTTAGCCGACGTTGCGGACGGGAGAGCGGCACCGCTGCAGCGCCACGGTCGGCACGCCTGTCCCGGTGCCAGCGCCCAAGCACAGGTATCGCGCCGCGGCGAATTGCCGCGCGAGGGTACTTTGCCCACACGGAATTGCACAGAGACAGACAGACGCGTGCGACAATGGGGGTGGAGAGGCTCTCGTTTGACCTCGTTACTCGCAGACGGAGGCGCGAGGGATGCGCAGCATTGCAGCCAGCCCGCCCTCCATTTCGGTCGACAGCCGAGTGCCCGCCCGCGCGGCCCTTCTCCAAGGCGCAGCAGGGCATCTACAAGTACCTCGACTGCCCGCCTCCGTCGCGTTCTGAGAGCGAGAGAGGAAACAAAAAAGGTGACTATGGATTCCCAGAAGAGAAAAGGCGACGAATCCCACGTCGGCTACGTGTCTCTGGCGCCCCTTTGGCAGAGGGGCGACGCGTGGCCGCCGCCGCCGCCGTCATCGACGGTCGCCGTCCGTTGGCTTTCCTTCATGTCGCAGATGCGGGAATGCAGTCGCTGCCCAGACCCAATTTCGCGGTTTCGCCGAGATGGTTGATTTCCTTTCGTGCCCCGAGAAAAGTCCCGGCGCCTTGTCGCGCCCGCGCGCAATGGTGAGGACTGAGGAGGCGCATGGTCGCCGTCGAGTCTTGCGCCTCGGTCGCCCTTTTCGGGGGGAGTAGAGCACAGCATGGCTTGCCCACGATGCCCCCCCCCCGAAACGCCACGCCGCGTTTCCTGTCCCACAGCTTGCGCCGCAGCAGCGGCACTAAGTTAAATGCTAGGGGTAGCAGCGCAGCGCAGCGCATTGAGCTCCGTCGTGTTGGGCTTCATACTGGTACGCAGCCACGGTGTATTTCCGCAAATGCGCAGCAGGAGCTGATATCCGCATCTGTCTCTCTCTTTCTCTCTCCTATGGAAAGCGTAGCGCCACGGCACTGCCCAGTGGGAACCGCCGAAGAGACCACATCCGCGCGCTCACCCTCCACGGCCGGGCTCGGAGCTCGGCATGGCAGACGAGATTGAGGTCGGCTCTCCGGGGCGCGGGCAAGGGTCAGCACAAGGAAAGAAACAAAGAAAGCAAAAAGCGAAATGCAGAGAGCTCAAGGGCACGGTGATGGGGATGACGATGGGAGGGGCGTTCCTTGGGGTCCACGCTATCAGAAAGCCAAGTTACGCCACGGCAGGGGTCCGTCCGTCCCACCGGGGAAGGGCAGGGCAGCATCCACTTGCGTGCAGCCAGGCAGTCAGCGAGTGCCAGCCGCGAGTGAGCGAGTGCCAGGGATTTTCCGGGCATGGCGACTCGCGAGGACAGATGACTGGAACAACCCGAAGCACGGGCTGGGCTGTGAGATGGCAATGGTACCTTAGGCTGGCTGGGTTGGGTTCCAGCCCGTCGTTCCCACCTGGGCACGCCTGATAGTTGACGGTCCAGAGCGATCGCCAGTGCAACCCCCACTGAAGAAATCGCCGAGCCCTCAGGCCATTCCGCCTGAAGTGGGCGGTTCCGTCCACTACTGAAGGCGCTAGTGGTGAGGTGGCCGCTTGCCGCCTGCCCAGGCTTGCCAGGTACCACGGGCGTGGACCGACCTCCTGCTGAGAGAGCCTGGAGGATGCCACCGTCCCGCCCATCCAGTCCATCTGTCAGCGCGCCCCCATGCAGGCACGTTCCCACCCCAAACTGCCCGACGAGTGGCGGTGCTGCGACGCCCCACGTGTGCCTCCAGCCTGGCAGCCTCGCAGTCTCGCCCCAACCAGGACCCCGAGCTCGCAGCACCAAAGCCTCACCGAGCGTGCCTGCCTCCGGAAAATTCCACCTCAGCAGCCCCGGCCGTGTCGCGTTCGAGAAGCCTCCGATTCCTGACGTCGTCGCTGCCCCCGTGGCCCGTGATGCCCTCCTCCACATCCGCGCCGCCACCCCGCCCGCAGCACGACTGAGTAAGAGGGCCCAAGAAAGAGAGCCCTCGAGGCCCGCCCGCCGGACCTCAATTGGCACGCCCAGGGGCACCCCCCCGGCATCGCGCCGGCCGCCAACCAGCCCGAGGGACCTCGCTCGCTCGGCACGTACGAGTACGAGCTCGAGGCTCCTTCGGCCCGCGCAGCCCAAGGACAACCGCCGATACGACGCGGCTCGCACGCACGCCGCAGCCGCCGACCGCCCGCTCGTCCGTCCGTCCAACGCCTCACTCCTCTCTCCCCCCCGTCGCGTCTCGTCCCGCGGCAGCATGCCCTCGCCCACCGACGACGAGACCCCGTTCCCGCCCCTCACCCACGCGTCCACCTTCAGCGTCTTCGGCCGCTCCCACCTCTCGCCTCACGATGCCGCGCCGCCGCCCCAGCACCGCCGCCGCGGAGGAGGAGGAGCCACCGGAGCCGGCTCGGGCGCGAGCGGAGACTACGTCGACGGCGCTGCCGAGTCGCTGCCCCGGATGAGACACATGGCCTCCGACCGCAGCACCAGCCGTCGCCGGAAGCGCGCGTGGAAGAAGCTCATGTGGGTGAAGCAGTCGTGTACGCGCCCTCCCCTTCTCTCGCTCGAGATGCCCTATATCCATGCCTCCGAGTCGAATTGGCCCGCTGACCGTCAAGCTCGCAGACCCCGACAACTACACCGACCAGGCCACGTTCCTCGAGAACCTCCAGCGCAACCCACGCCTCAAGCCCTACGACTTCTGGCCCCTCGTCGCCGACTCGACCGTCATCCTGCAGCACGTCTGCTCCGTCATCATATTCGTCGTGTGCTTCGTCGGCATCTTCAAGGACCGCGTCTCCCCCGTCTCCGTAGCCAGCTGGAGCAGCTTCGGCACCTTTCTCGGCTGGCTGCTGTGGGAGCGCTGGGTCTCCGAGGAGGAGGACCAGGACGACGAGCTCCTCCTCGCCGCGGGCGGCGCCGTCGCCGGCACCACGACGGGCCTGGGCCGCGCCGGTAGCGTTCGCCGCCGAGGGCGCGCCGCGAGCATGCGACGCCCGCCGCCGCACCCGCTCCGCACGGAGTCCTTTCCGTCCACGCCCGCCGCTTCGCTGACGCCGTCCGCGACACCCTCGGCGGTGCCCTCTGCGGCCAGCTCGACGACCAACCTCCACCTGAACGGCGGCACCACCCTCAAGCCGCCTCAGTCGGCGTCTACGACGTCGCTCGGGTCGCAGCAACAGCAACAACAGCAGCTTGGCCCCGGCGGGGACATGTTGCCGCTGCCGCAAAACATGTCGGAGCCGGAAGAGTCGCGAGCGCATCAGCGCCTCGGCACCATCAAGTCGGCGCTGCTCATCTACTGCACGCTGCTCGGGCTCAGCCCGATCCTCAAGTCGCTGACCAAGTCGACGTCGAGCGACAGCATCTGGGCCATGTCTTTCTGGCTGCTGGCCGTCAACATCTTCTTCTTCGACTACTCGGGCGGTGTGGGGGCCAAGTTCCCGGCGTCGCTGTCGACCAACGCGGCGCTCATGGCGTCGACGGTGCTGGCCAGCCGGCTGCCGTCGACCAAGCAGGTCTTTAGCCTCACCCTCTTCAGCATCCAGGTGTTTGGGCTGTTCCCCGTGTTTCGGCGGCACGTGCGGCACCGCAGCTGGCGCTACCACGTGGTGCAGACGGTGCTGCTGGTGCTCGGCGCCGGGCTGGGCGTCGGCATGGTGGTGTCGGACCCGCGCCGCGACGGCGGCTGGCCATGGAAGAACGGCACCGTGGGCATGGTGGTCGGCGTGGTGGTGGCGGCGCTCGCCACGGGAGGGTGCAGCTGGTGGCTCATCGGGCTGCAAAAGTACAAGAACGAGATTCGCGGACCGTGGGACCCGGCGCGGCCCATTATCATGAGCAGGACGCGCTGGGACGATAGATGAGGGTTGGATTAGAACAGGTCCGGGGGCGCCAGCCGCGGACTAGAGATACCGAGTAACGTTAATAACTTAATAGCATGAGACTGGCTAGATCAATCATAGCCCAGTATATGCCCTACTAGCAGCCAGGTCACCGTAGAACGTATATCCGGGCCAATACTAGACAGCATCATATCAATCCATTACAGAGGATTGCTCGATATGTCATTCCCGGTCCTCCTGCCCCCGTAAACCTGTTCATCGCGAATGTCCTTCCACAGCGCGGGCCGCCGTCCCGGCACAAAGTCGCACACAGCAACGAGCATCTCGGTTTCCTCGTTGATGAGATGGCGGTACTCGGCAAACGCGCCGCCCAGCACCCCGTCCGGCGCCTCAAACAGCCACCTGTAGCTCCGCCACCTGGGCGCCGGCACCAGCGGCGTGCCGTTGATGGTCGTGAGGCTCAACGCGCGCCGCATCTCGCGGACCAGGGCCTTCAGCCGCGCACGGTCCCGCTCGTCGTCCCCAGCCTCGAGCTCCAGCGTGAGCCGCTTCCTAACCTCCGGCCAGCAGGTCATGGCCGACATCGCATCCAGGTCCAGCTCGCCCACCTCCGCGGCGGGGAACCACGCGTTCCAGGCGACGATGAGGGTCAGGCACTCGAGGTTCGGGAAGGCGTCTGGCCCGACAACGCTCTCCCACCAGCTCACGTAGATGTCGAGGCCCGTGAGGAGATGCGGGTCCGCCTGGATGCACAGTTCCGTGACGTTCTGCAGGTTATGCCTCGTGAGGGCCTCGAGCCGCACCCTGCCGAGACACATGTAGTCGCTCTTCTGCCCGTCGTTGCGCGGCTTCGCCCCCGCGCCGAGACACAGCCTGTGCACGGCCTGCCGCATGGGGAGGTGCGCCGCCTCGTGGTAGGCGCGCCGGCAGGTCAGGAGGAGGGCCCAGTCGACGCGCCAGGGCGCGTACCACCCCGGCCGGATGTACTCGCAGTAGCGGGCCGGGTCGGCCTCCTCGTCGGCGAAGTACTCGCGGCTCCAGTCTTCGTGCTCGGCCAGCGCGAGGGCGAAGACCTGGTCGCGGAGCTCGCTGCTGAGCTTGCCGAAGAGTGGGCTTTGCTGCTGCGGGTGGAACGTCGTCGGCGAGATGGCGTCGAGGAGGGGGCTGTCCCACGCTGGCTCGCCAAAGTCGGGGTCTTGTCTGCGATACTGGTGGTCGCAGACGGTCACCCTGGGTTGTCCATCAGGTTGAACTGGTACGGGTGGCAGCTGTGGCGATTGCGAGGCTAGTATCTCAACAAGGAGTCTCCTGTGGCTCGCTCGCTTGCCAATTAGCTGAAACCGGAATCTTGATAGTATGTACTCTGTAGGCAAGACTGGACTCGGGCTGTGCAGGCATGGAAGCTGGCTTACTTTACGCGCTCCTTGAACTCTTCAGTCACATTATGGGGGTCGTCAACCCTGAGCAATCTTTTGTTTTCCCGTTTCAATGAGCAAGCAGCACTCTCTTTGCCCCCTCGTCTGTCCCGCCCTTTCACGGTGTGTGCCAAGAGACTCACAGCTCTGTGCCGCGCCGTGTCGACAAGGTGTTATAGTCGGTGTCCAGGCAGAATTCCTTCAACAGGTCATCGGAGAGGGCGTCGAGCGACCTGACCGTGTAGCGGCGGCCACTTGACAGGCGCATCGTTGGTTGGGGATATCTAGATGACAGGCGCGGGTGCGGGAGGGTGTGGGCGGACTAGGGAATGGGGGTTTGCTGCTACGTCGACGCGTCTTGATGCGAAGCTTGTGAGTCGGCGATGGATTGATCGTCAAGAGTCGTTGGGCGGCCAGAGCGTGCATCAGAACGTGTGTGTCAATCCCTGTAAATCCGAGTAATACGGACGGCGAGAGGGGACCTTTGCTGGATCCATTTTTGGTTTAGTTGTGCTGGAAGATGGGCCCGTGTAGTCTCATAGCCGTCTTGTCCTTCAGCCGGTCTTATACGCAGAGCCTTTATCCTCCTTCTCTTTGTTTGTCTACCACAATATAGGCTCTAGCCGTTGCAGTAGTATGTACAGTATAAGAGGACTCTTGGCGGGACGTTTGGGTGGTCCTTGTGCAGCTTGGGTCCGCCTCCGGTGTCTCGCTCGATTGAGGGACACGCGGGCGCCCGCACCGCTTATCAGACAACCGTACTCCGTAGTCCTTACTGCTATACTTCGCGTAGGACTCTATGTATAGTACCGTACGAACACGCGGATGGATTTAAAAGGGCCGGGGTGGCACTGGAAAGACGAATGAGGAGCGCCGTCTCTTTTCGACGTTCATCTTGGTTCGGACAGCCACCACCACCACCACCCGTTGGAAGCGCACGAACGGGGTGCGGCGAGTGTGAAGTGAGGTATCATTTTGGCTGCACGGTGGGATGGCGGTTGGCGGGCGCCCAGCGCCTCGAGATGAGTAGTTCATGGGGAGCAACCAGGCCACCCCTACGGCGCGTCCAATAGATGGCCTGGACGGGAAATGTGTATAGGCAATGGGGATGCAAGGGGCAGGGGATCAAGTAAGCCACATGCTTGTCGCCAAAAACCTGAGGGCCTGGAGAAAGCTCACCGGAACGGGCTGCTGGAGCCGAGGGTCTGCTCCACGAATTGACGCCGTCGTGAATGCAGGTCCCGTCCTGCTGTTCAACGGCAGGGAGACACCAATGGTATAGACGGCGGACTCGACGGGGCGAAGAGAGGAGAGAGCTCGTACTCGGACCGCTACAGCACGGCGTCCGCACTGCGTTGTGAATGAAAAGTTGGGGGAGGGACGGGGAAGCAACGCACTTTATCTCGTGTTGGCTCGCCGTCGACGCCCGCCAGACCGTCTTATTCATCGTCAATCCAGACCTTCAACGTCGCAAGCCACCCAATCCCAACCCTTCCGAAGCGGCAAGGCCCCCAAGCAATAAGGTAATATCAGTTGGGAGTCCGGTGGTTGGACGGCCGCGGCGACGCCATGGGAGGGGGAGCGCGCTTCCGAGGGTACGTGCACGATAATACATACTGTAGCATGGACCTGGGGACACAGGCGGCGGAGGGGAGCTGCTGCGGTTGCCTGCGGGGACGCGCGCAGCGTGCAGGAAGCATTGATGATTCATGCCACCGATGGTGCACAGTATTGGGAATTCGTACAGGCCTTGTCTTTCGTTCGGCAAACCTTCCCAGCTGCCAATGGCTTACCTGGTACAATACTGTACAACAGGCTGCTGTTGGGCCCGGGGTTAAGGAGGCTGTGAAGAGGCGTAGCAGCGTTGGGTGGTGAGCTCGCCCTCGACTGCATCTCAACAACTGAGGCCAGGGAAACATCCTGTACTGTACAGTAGCAGCACGCGTGCACATTCACGGGTTTCAGCATAGACGCCAAGATGGGACAAGAAATAAAGCTCGCGTTGAACGATTCAGTTCCTGCCCAGATCTTGGGTCAGCTGCGAAGGTCAGCCCACCGCGCGTGGAGAGCCTCCCCGTCTGCCCCCTTCCGGGTTATTTATAAGGTAGCATGGCATAACAGGGGGGCCGGCGCGGCTTGCCCGAACCCAGGGACGGCCCACGTCAAAGTCCCGCGTGCGAGAGACTGACAAACCGTCGACGGGTCAGTTCCCGTATTGTCGTCGTCCTCGTCGTCGTCGTGACCGTCCAGTCCGCCGCTGCCGCCGTCGGTGCGTCGTCGCCTTTCCCATTTAGCAGCTTCATGCACTGCGCCTGCCCGTTCCGGGGTCAGCCCATGTCTTCGCCGTTGGTGACGGGAGCAGGCAAGGGCCGTTGGGAATCTTGGTATGGGCTGGGGATGGCAGGAGGGGGTGGGACAGAAGCTTGTGTTGCCTCGTCAGCCCTCTTGTCTGTTAATAAATGTGCTACCTGCCCAACGTCGTCTGCTTGCGTTTCTTCACCTTTCCTCCAGTCCGCTAAGCTACCATCATTTTGTTGCGTTTGCATCCTGCGTTCTTCGCTCGCTCTTGTGCGTCGTGCATACTTGCCGTTGAGAACGATACTCGGACGACGTCTCGCGTCTCAGCCCCAAGCGTACATTCTTTTTCAACGTCCCCCAAAATGAAGGCCGCCATTGTTGCCCTCGCCCTCTGCGGGCTCGCTGCCGCTGTCCCCGACATCTCCAAGTTCCCCGCGTGTGCTGTAAGTAGCTTGCCCATGTGTGCAGCCGGGCCTTTGCCTGTCTTGGCTGGCCGTATTGCATCGTTATCGCTCCGTGTATGGAGCCGAACCGTAAGGCCCCACGCTGACACGACACGCACGCACGCACACAGATCCCCTGCGTCACGGAAGCGGCCAAGTCGAACGGCTGCGCCGACCAGAGCGATGCGGTCTGCTTCTGCAAGCCCGAAGCCGTCGCAAAGACGGAGGCCGCGGCCCACGACTGCGTCAAGAAGAGCTGCGACCCGTCGCAGTTCCCCTTGATCCAGAAGGCGAGCGATGAGCTGTGCGCCAGCGTCGGCAAGGTGCCGCCGCCCGCCGGCGGCCAGACCAGCGCCGTCGAGTCCACCGGCGCCGCCGCCCCCACCCCCACCGGCTCCGGGGCCGCCCACCCCACCGGCACGGGCGCCATCACGGCCACGGCCAGCCAGCCGGCCATCACCGCCGGTGCCAACGCCGGCCCCGTCGTCGGCGCCGTGGCCGCGGCTCTGGCCGCCGCCATGGCTCTGTAGAGCCCGTTTCGGTCGCACCGGCCGCATCGGCCCCAGCTTCGCCAGCATCTCGGACCGTAATGTTAATGGAATGAGGTTCGGCACGAGGGGATGCTCATGTGGCACGAGATGGACGCGCGCAGGATCCGGGGCCCATGTTTTTCGGCGCGCAGCACTTCCCAGGGGCCTTTTTACCTTGTAATTACCGAATTTTTTGACCGGGTTGCCCGCCCGAGGTCATTTGGGGTGGTCATGTTTCTCCACGCGAAAGAGTAGAGAAACAAGATGATGTTTGGTTCACCGTATTATAGATTCATAAATACGATTTCTTTTCTTTGTTTCATCTACGTGTACTTCACTCTCGCGTGACTGTGCCAGTGGCAGTCAGACGCTGTAACAAAGCAACCGAAGTACTGATGATTTCAACCCTGGCATACAAGAACACTTCAGCCAACCATTGACCGGTGGCAGCCTCCTCTAATGCCAGTATAACATATCGTTTGAATCCCAAATTGATGACGCCGGTCCAATGCCTAATCATATCTTGCTGAAGGACTTCTCTATTGTAGTCGTGCACTATGTGCGTCATGCCCGCCAGGCCAAGCCTCACTTTCCCTTAATCATCACGGTTGCGCCTCAGCCCGCGGAAGTTCTAGGTCGACCAACCACGGCAGCTGCGAGGGCCGGTAGCGGACGTCCATGATGGAGGCGTTGACGAAGAGCGTCTGCCGGCCCTTTTCCAGCCGTGTCGCCTCGCCGTCCGCGCCGGTGGTGTCGACGTGCACGCACCGCTGTCTGCTCAGCCGGGCGAGACGGCGGACGGCCTCCGGGGTCACGGTGGAGAGGTCGGCGCGTGTTTGGGGCTTGAGGTGCCGCGCGGTGTAGAGGAGCTGCGAGGTGGAGGGGTCGATGGCGGAGTGCCAGGTTGGGTGGCGGTGGTGGTGATGTTGATGTTGATGATGATGGTGGTGCTGGTGTTGGTGTGTGTCCGGCAGCGCTTGGCCGTCATTGTGGCCGTCGTCGTCGCGCCAGGTGGCAAGGTAGCCACCCCATGCCTCGTGAATGTGTCCAAAGCAGTGCAGCTGCGGGCGCGCGGCATGCACAGCCTGGAAGAGGGCATCGCAGCCCGCGCGGTCGGTCGCCGGATGGTCGGGCGGTAAACCCTGGAGCTGAGCCATCCCGGCACCGTCCAGCACGCCGAGCGGCGGGCCGTGCGTGACGGCGACGTCCACGCCTGACGGTATGCGGAAGTCGTGCGCCCCGGGCGGGTATTGGAACGCCCAGCCGCCGAACACGGGCGTGTACGGACTGGCATACACAGACAAGCGCGCACCATTGCCAAGCGCGAAGCTGTGCGTCCCCTCAGTGAGGTATCTCACGCCATGGGCCTCCGCGCGGGCAACAATGTCGAGCACAGCTTGGCGCTCCTCGCGGCGCTTCCTCCGGGCCTCGGCGGCCCACTCGTGGTGGCCCTCCCCGTACAGGTCAGCAGCGTCGCCTTCGTCATCGTCGTCTTCATAGCCTTCGAACCAGTGCTCAGCGTCGAGGGCGAGGTCGTGGTTCCCCGCGATGGCGAGCTTGAGGGGCGCGCGCAGGGCGGAGAGGAAGGCAAAGGTGGCGGCGAACTCGGCGGGGGTGCTGCGTCGCGTGAGGTCGCCGCAGTGGATGGCGACGTCGGCGGAGGGGAGGGGGTCGCGGAAGCCGGTGGGCGCGTGGAGGAGGTTGGCGGTGGGGGAGGTGAGTTCGTCTTCGGTGTCGGGCTGGTTGCTGCTGTTGCTGTTGCTGGTGGTGATGTTGCTGATGGTGGTTGTCGTTGTTGTTGTTGAGGGCTTGACGTAGGGCTGGGCGCCGTGTGTGTCGGAGATGATGAGGATGCGTGTGCTAACCTTCAGTGATGACATGGCTAAGTAAACATAGGCGAGGAAGGGTGATGAATGGATGAATGAAAGTGCGTTTGAGTGTAAGAGCTGTTTGCTGCCCCTGCGACCAGCTGTCCAAGGGTACAGGGTAGTGTCAAGGCGAGCGTGTACGCAGAGCCATCAATAGCTTCCTAGAGACGCAAGATGATAGCTGGGCTCATTCACTTATTTTTGGATGGTGCTGGCTGGAGCGGCGGTCACGGCGGAAGTGGGAGGAGTGAAGATAATGGCAGCTGCCTGTAGGCCAGCCCCGACGTTCACGCCGGTTGTGGTTGTGGTTGAAAGTGGGGCCCCGCCACAAGACATCGCGATCCCTCGGTGGCTCGTTCGCAACGCTGCTCCATCGAACTTGGCACTTTCACGGCTCGGCATCAACTTGACGTCAACCACGACGCGACATCCAACAGCTCCCACGCGCGACCCGAGAAGCAATATGGCCTCGCAGGACGTGTCAATGGACTCGCCGCCACCCGCGCCCCCCGCCAAGGACGGCAGCGAGGAGCCCATGTACGGCGGCTACTCGCGCTTCGAGATTGAGCTTGAGGTGAGTTTCCTTTCCCCCGTTTACGCGCCTCTTTGCCCCTGGCCTTCGTCGTCGAATGGCCTCGGCGGCGACGGCGGCGTCTGTACGTAGCAAGCCTTACTCGAACTTGGGAGACTCCGGAGGATGGGAGCAGCAGGCAAAAGGAAACACGCGCTGACATTCTCCGGCCACAGTTCGTCCAGTCGCTCGCCAACCCCTTCTACCTCAACCACCTCGCGTCGCAGAAGCTCCTCTCGCAGCCCGCCTTCGTCGCCTACCTCGCCTACCTGCGGTACTGGTCCCGGCCGCCGTACCTCCAGTACCTGACGCACCCAGGCCCGACCTTGCGCCACCTCGAGCTCCTGCAGCAGGAGCGCTTCCGCCAGGACATCATGAGCCCGGACCTGGTGGCCCGGCTGGTCGACGAGGAGATGCGCGCGTCGGTGCAGTGGCACCGCGAGGCGTGAGCGACAATACCAGGTGGCGGCAGCTTCTGACCCGGGCCCGCCACTCGGATACGAAAGCCAAGGGCCAGCTACGACGACGACACGACGGCACGACGTGTAACACTCTTACGAAACAAAATAATAGAAACCGGCAGCCCGCAGAAGGGCCGAGCCGCCGCGGAATGGATCATGGTCTACCTTCAGGTCTACCACAAGATATCATCGCTTAACACAATATGCCCCGAGCTTTCCTCCAACGCCCCAAATCCCATTCTCAAAACGCCGGATTCCCCTCCAAAGAAACCAAGATACAGCGAAAACCACACAGGCAGAATTGCTGCTCAGTTCTCGCGCCAGCGGTGGCCGCACGTCATGCACTTGTAGAAGCTCGTCATGGGCTCGTCGGCACTGCGGATCTGGACCTGGAAGAAGGCGGCCTCGTCGCCGTCGCAGCCGTCGTTGGGGCACTGCACGCGGCCCTTTTGCGCATTGTCCCAGGCGCCCGGCCCGCCGAAGACGTCCTCCTTCTCCTTGCGCTCGTAGACGCGCCGCGAGAAGACGGGCTCCGTGATGCTGTGCTCGAAGGGGCACGTCCGGCACTCGAGTCGGTTGAGGCGCGCGTTGGTGAGCGACACGGTTAGGATGTTGGCGCACTGCGGGCAGACTGGAGAAGAGTCAGCGATTTGGTTCGTTTTTTTCCTTCGCTCTGGACTGCCAGGACGGAGAAGAGGGAGGAGGCAGGGCAGGGCAGGTCGGGTCGGGTCGCATCTCCACGTACAGAGCAGCATGGCGGGCGAGCGGTCCTCTTGCACTGGGGAGTGGCGTAGCAGGCAGAGTGTGAATTGAAAGTAAGTTTCCGAATCTCGTGCTTCCGTCGAGGCGCCCGAGCGCCCGTCGTCGTCTGCGTCGTGGTCGTGTTCGTGGTCCTCGCGGTCGTCGTCTTGCGTGGGTTGCGACGGCGAAAGAAAAATGCGGCATGACGGTCAAGCTTCCCGGAAGAGGCGCCCAGTCGTGGTGGGGTCCAACTCCCAGGCCATCCGGGCCCCGCTACTACGTACCACCACCAGCGGCCCAGCACGCTCGGGCTCGCCTCAGTTGCAGGTGGCCTGGGGCCCCTACCCTCGCCCTGCGTCGCACCTCAGTCCAACCTGGGACCACCCCAGGCAGCGGAGCCCACCACTTCAGGGGCAACACCTCAGGGACCAGACAGCGCAGTCGAGGTCACCGAGACGCGACCTCAGTAGCTGGAGCCTGGGGCACAGTCCCCTCCATTCCTCGTCCGCCCCCCCCGTACTCTCACCTCACCGACGTCAACGCCGCCCACTTCGCTTTCCAACACCCAGTCCCCCACCTCCAGCCCACCGCCGCCGCGCACCGCCTCCCGGCACGCATAAGCTACTCATACTTGTACGCGTTGCGCCCGCCGCCGCCGCCGCCGCCCCTGCGATCGCTTCACCCCCCCGTCATCCCCACGACGACGACGACCTGACCTCGACGCCGTCCACCTTAACACGTCGACAACAACCACCTCTCCCTCCCGACGAACAGCTACCTTCTCACAAACCTAGACCGCCTCCCCGCCTGTCCCCGCGCCTCCCGCCCGCACTCCCCCGCGCGAGGGGACCAAAAACCGGCATACATACTACATACCGACGCACACAACCCATCCCGACCGCCCGCCCCATCATGGCCGCCGACGAGGAGCACGAGGTTCGTTCTCTCTCCCCTAACCTCTCCTTGCTCTGCCGCTGGGGAACGGCAGCTCTCCTCCAATGCGCACAGCCACTACCTCAACCTCCCCTCCCCACCGCCGCTCCCCTCCAAAGGAACACGGCTCGATCAGTTACTGACAGGAACCGACAGGGCGCCTCCATCAAGGAGCAGCTCATCGCCGCCTGCCGCGGCAACAACACGGACCTCCTCACCGAGCTGCTCGACGGCAAGCCCGACGACGAAATCACCTCGCTCCTCAACCGCACCGTGACCGTCATGGGCAACCACCTCTACCACGAGGCCGCCTCCCGCGGCAACTGTGCGTATATATATATATCCAATCCTTACCCCTCCCCCCTTCCCGCCGCCTGCCTAGGCCCCCCCTTCCTCGACTGACATCCCGCGCGTGTCCGCGCACCCAATCCGCGCAGACGAAGTCATCGACCTCCTCCTCGACCAGCCCGCCTTCGAATGCGACCCCGTGAACCGCCTCGAGGGCGACACCCCCCTCCACTCCGCCATCCGCTGGCTCAACGCCGAGCCCCCCGCCCAGCGGCCCTTCGGCCTCGCCCTCGTCTCCATGATGCTCGAGGCCGGCTCCAGCCCCCGCGCCCGCAACCGCGCCCGCCTCACCCCCGCCCAGCTCGTCGACCCCTCCAACCAGGAGCTCAGGGACCTCATCCGCCAGCACGAGTACGCCAGCCAAAACGCCGGCGACTTTGCCGACGTCGTCGAGACGTCCAACCCCGCTAGCAACGGCACGGGAGCGAAATCGGCCGCTGTGCTCGACGCGCAGGCGAGCGATGACGATGACGACGATGCAGAGTTTAGCGGCAGTGACGACGAGGAGCGCGCCGAGTGGGAGCGCAGGAGAAGGGAGCGCAAGGCACGGAAGTGATTTGGGGGGCATACATACATGTTGCTGCCGCACGCACCCAACGCGGCGTTGCGACCGGCAGGCGGACAGAGCCGGCAGGGCGGCGGGCGCGGAACGGCGTTGAGCGTGCCATTTACCACGACAGAGATGTGTTGGAGCATAACGTACAGTGTACGACATGAGCGCTAGACATTTGCACGCCCCAAGTGTACGACAGCACCGGGCAGGTAGTTATCGCCGGATTCCCAGGTGCGATTTGATACAAAGAAACTGGGTATATGACTCTAGGTACTAGGTATGCTGCTGCTAAAGGTATCGTTTGTAGGCTAGACTTCAAGTCTGCCTATCCATCATGACGTCGTGTTCGCGTTCCTTGGCGGTCAGGACGCATTGCTTGCTCTCAGACACCAGACCAGCTGGGTCGCTACTTAGAACCGCGTGCGCTCTCACAGGGCAAGCCAAGCGGCGGCGGCGGCGGCAACGACACCGGTCGTCGCCGTGCCAAGCGGCCGTCCCCTGCTCGCAGCTCCCTCCTTGTCAGCTTCGATATAGGTGACGTTGCGCAGCCGCTTCATAGACAGCTCCGACAGCCGCCCGCCGCTGGCAATCTCAAACAGCTCCTTGCCTAGCTGGCGCAGGATATTAGTCGAGCGTCCAGCCGGACACATGACCACCTCCCAGCCGCCGCCCTTCGGAATGATAAAAGTTGATTGCTGGTCATCAAAGGCAAAGCTGTAAGCGTCGGGGCACACGGCCTTGACCGACTTGCTGTACAGAGATGGCTTGCAGATCTTGGGGTCGTGATATTTGCCCACGCAACAGTCTTTGTCGGACCCGGTGGCCGCGCAGGCGCTCTTGCAGGGAGAAAAGGCCGGACGCTGAATCTTGTCATCGGGGTAGGGGTAGATGCCATCCCCGGGCTTGGTAGGAGGAAAAGCGAGGTTCGGCCATGGACACCAGCTACCGACGCTGTCATTTGTCTCATCTGGTTCCAGGGGAATCGGATACGTCGAGTTGGCGTAAAACGTCCCGGTCTGGGCCTTGGTGTATAACCAGCCGCTCGTTGCCACGCAAGCGCAGTTGGTGAGGTTGGGCGGGATATACGTCGTGTTTTTCGCCGGGATATAGTTGATGCCCATGGGTAGGTTGTACCCGTCGACGAGGGAGATGTCGTAAAAGGTTTGCATGCCCGTCACGCCGCCGGCGAGGTTGAACTCGGCAAGGGTGGCAGGGGGTGCTCCCTGTCGAGCCGGTCAGAGTCGAGTCTCAGAATCACCGAGCTGGAGTGATACTTACGCTGAATTCGCAGTCGAGTTTGGAGAAGCAGTCTCCCGTCTTGCAAGCGCACGAGTCTCCATTTACAGTACAGTTGGTGCGCCCCCACACACGGCCTTGCCATTCGGGACTGACCCAAAGCGTCTTGTTCGTCCCGGGCTCCAGAGCAAAGCCGCCGGTGCCGGGGCCGGTGCCGGACTGAGTGGCGATACCGGGCCAAATCGTCGACTCGCATTTGTTGGTGACAATGAGGGGAATCTTGCCCTCCCAATTTTCTGGAGGACCTCGTCTCGCCGGCAGCCCGCTTCCTCTGAGATCTCTGGGAGAGCCGACCTGCCGGTGGCGCTTGCTGTGTGGAATCCGCACCGACTCGACGGGATGAAGAAACGACCCAAACGTGACCGCGGCCAGAAGTAGCTGACTCATGGAACAGCTATGGTCTCGCTGCGAGTTCTGTATTTGAGATGCAAGAAACATGACTCCCATAGACTGTTTCCGCTAAGCGACGTGTTGAAAGCTCGTGATCTCTGACAAATGCTCGCCAGTTTAGCCAATTCTTGGTAGCTTGATGTTAACGCAGCGTAGGCATGTATGAATGGCGTATATCCGAGAGAAGAGCCAGACCAGGATGCAGGAAGTGAAGCGATGGCGCGGCAAACAATGACGGTGTCCTAGTTATACCAGCAGGCAGCGTGACCGTGAAGCCCAGCGTCGTGTGATTGGGGGACGTTTCGATGGACAGCACCGCAAACCTGATTTGCCCTTGTTGGGAATGGACGTCAGAGGCGCGCAGACGGACAATACAAGGCAAGGTCGAGCAAAAAAGGTTCGTTTGCCGCGCGAGGGGGACGCGGACAAAGTGTTGGCAGACGAGTCCTTATATACGCCGTATAAGAGCTGAGCTGGCAATTCCAGGTAATCAAAGATGAGAAATATTTCGATGAGGTTGGTCGTTTGTTTGAAGAAGCCTGGCCGGCAGGTCGTAATAGTAGCGGTTTGGAGGATGGGGGAGAGTTGGGAGCCATCATGGGCGACGGCGGGCGCTTCTACCATTGCCTTGCCGCCAAGAACCTGGAATCCTCACGTTGAGGTATGACGCAGGAGCGACTGGCTCCCGTTGCAACTTGCGCCTGCCACCCGCCAGGGGTCCAGGAACAGCTCGGCCAACCCCACAGCGCAGCATCCTTTCCATATTGGGAATAGCGTCATTTCGTGCAGAGAAGGAGCTCACGCCCAGGTTCCTGAAGGACGACTTGGAGCGTCTTGGTGTCGTAATCCACCCCAGGCCAGGCTGTTGCGTGCGTTTGTCCGATACTGATGGCACTCAACTCCAGGCAAGCGACAATCAACACCCCAGTCGAGCCATGTCCATGCGCCGCTGCGTCCGTAGCCAGGGAATCCCCAAGTGCAGCATTGACACTATATATCTGAAGGTGCCTCTAAGCTTCAACTCGGCCACTGTCTATTATCCACGTCAAGACTCAAGCCAACTCATAAATCCGAGTCGAGGCCGCATCCTGCCACCACATCTCCCTAAGTTCGTTGCACCGTCTCGTCTCGGTCGTCTCGCCCAATAAAGGCGTCCGGCTTCCTCTTCCCATGCATCCAAGCTCCGCAGGTATCATTTTTTGGCCCAGAGATGACATGCCGCCTCTATCGAAAGCCACGAAATTCATTACGCACACTCTTGCTCCTCCGTCACCCGTTACCTGAAGCGCGCCCGGCAGCGGCCCATGACCTCGCCCTGGCACACCAGCTCGGCGCTGAATTCTGAGCCGTCGAGCGTTAGGTAGATGTCGAAGTAGACACGGTAGAATGTGCCCTGCGGTGTGTCCATCCGCTCAAAGTCCTTTTCGAGATTCTTGCGCGACAGGTCCGAGGTGAGCGTCACGACTTCCTTGATGCCTATTCAGGGTTAGTATCAGCTGCACAATTCTTTGCCACCGTCAGACTTACGAGGATCCTTGGTGTACTCGGGGCACACATCGTCGTCGCACGCGTACAGCACGTCTTCGTACATGAGTGTGGCGCCGGGAGCGACCTGCCGGAAAAAGGACACCTTGACCGGCTCGCCGTTCTTGACCTTTTGTCCCTTCTGCACGAAGATCTGTCGCGTGAACTTGCACCGGTCCTTTCCGTCCAGCGAGGGCACGCGGTACGCCTCCGGATGGTACCCCTCCTTGAAAGGCTGCAGCGTCGCCATGAGATAATGCCGACGGGCCACGCGATGGGTGATGATGCGCTCCGTGATGCCGGCGGTGACGGCGCCCTTGACGATGGCGGCCACCGAGTCCATGGGGCGGACTACCTTGGACTGGAACTGCGGCGGCACGTGAAGCTTGATCTGCTGGAACAGGTACTCCGAGGCGCCGAAGCCACCGACGACCAGGATGTTCTGTAGCGTGCGGTTCTGCGCCTGGATGGCGATGATCTGGTTGCGCACCAGCTCCAGGATGCGGTTGACCACCGGCTCGAAGCACTGCAGAATCTCCTCGTTGGTAAAGGTCATGTATCCTTCCTCGATGCCGGCCTCGGGGAACTCGGCCTCGATGCCCACGTCGACGGCCCACTTCTGGCCGTTGTTGCGGAAATCGGCCTTGATACGGTTCTCAAAGTCCATGATACACTTGGCGTAGACTCGGCCAGCCGTCTTGGACCCGTCTGGCAGCTTCATCTTGCGGATCTTGGTGCGCAGGATGTTGCTGAAGTTGCGGTTCAGGGCGGTGGAGCCGCATGAGTCTCCGGATCCAGCCGTGCACTCGGCAACAGTAAAGGGGTTCTCCTCCTCCACTTCATAGGCGATCAAATCCACGGTGCCACCGCCGCAGTCGACGATGAGCACGGCGTCGTGGACCTTGAGGTTGAGGAGACCGGTCTTGGAGCAGAAGAGGGCGGCGGCTTCGGGCTCGGAAATCAGCGTCAGGCGGTTGTCGTTCTCGTCGCGGAGGAATCCGGCCTGGATGGCGGCAGCACGCGTCGCCGCCTTGCCAGCGTCGTTCCAGATGGCAGGCACCGTCAGGTAGTACCGGATGTTGCGCTCCTCTCGGTTGAAGACCTCGCCCAGCGTCTTCTGCAACGCCGACCGCATAGCCTGGCGGAGCTTGAAGAGGTAGTCGGCCGCGACATCGATTTCGGACTTGCCCGGGGGCAGGGGAGGCAGGTTGATGGGGTCAATGTACGTGTTGCCGCTGAGCATGAGCTGCAGCTTGAACCACTCGACCTTTTGCACGCCGGGCTTGGGGTAGCCGGTCGGGGCTAGGGCGTCGGCGATGTCGGGTCCCCAGCCGACGACCTTCTGGTACTGGTCGTAGTACAGGACAGTTGGGATCTGCAGCGGTAGCGTTAGTGGCGGCGAGGCACATCTCGAACAGCCAGGGAAGCCACCTTTTGCTTCGTGTACGAGCCAGCACCTGGCCACTCCGTGATGATGTCCTCCTTGGCCTCGTTGTTGGTCGCGAAGGCAAACGCGACGCCGGAGAAAGTTGTGCCCTGCGCGGGTGGTTAGCAGCGATCAGAAGCGCGCGCCGTGCCCCGCGAGCGGGGAAGGATTCTCGGGAGGACTGACGAAATCAATGCCCACGATCAGCTGGGCCTTGCTCTTGCTCGCGCCCTCGACCTCGGCGGCGGGGTTCGTTCGCTGGTACTGCTGGGCAATGGGACCTCCAGCCGGGGGCGGTCCGCCGGGAGGATATCCCTGCTGGCCACCGAACCCGGGGGGGCCACCGCCGGGCGCGGGAGCTCCCATCGGCGGCGGCCCTTGGCCCATGGGGTTCATGTTCGGGGGGTAGCCGACGGGGGCGCCCGTGTTGATGGGAGGCGGGCCTCCGGCCATCTGGCTCGGCGGGGTGCGGTTGAGGGGTCCGGGGTGAGGGCTGGTGCGGTCGACAGGCGCGCCGGGAGGGCCCTGAGGGTAGTTGGCCGTGTAGCTGGGCGGCCGGTTGCCTGGGCCCGGGTGGTTCATGGGGAGACTGGTCGTCGACGACGAGGCGCCGAGGGGAGGCGTCGGGCCGGGGTGCGGGATCTGCTGGTGTTGAGGTATTTGACCTGGCGGAGGGGTGCTGGCGGGAGGGACCCCCTCGGTGGTCTGGATGCTTGCGGCTGATTTGCGTTTCCCGAACCCGAAGCCTTTGAGGCGGGAGTTCATAGAGCTCATATGGAAAAGCGAGAGAGGGAAAGGACAAAACGGGGCAGAATGGAATGGGAAAGGGGAAGAGGAGAGGAGGGACTCGAGAAAGCCCTGACCTGACGGGACGGAGCTGAGCAACAGCCGCAAAGACGGGGGAGGGACTTGCTTGGGCTGGGCTGGGGCGCGCGTCTGGCGGGCGGCGGGGGCAGCGAGCGAGCGGCGGCGTGCGTGCGTGCGTGCGTGGGCGAAGGAGGAGGAGAAGGAGAGAAGGCGGATGGAGGCGTTGACGGGTGAGCCACAGGACACGACTGGGGTCAGGGCCCGGGTCGGGTCAGAAATTAGCAGCCCTGGGCGAATGGGGGTGGGCTGCTTGGGCGTGCCGCTGGCCTGTGGGCTGAGCCGCAGGCCGGGAGGAAGCGCTGAGGTGTAAGCTGGCAGCGACGGCTTTTGTGGTTCCGCGTGGCTGAAGGCGAGCCCGGGAGCTGATGACCACGGGATGGTGGATGGATGGGGATGGCGAATGGCGGCGGCTGGGCTTGGCTGACTTGCGCTGGGCTGGGCTGCTCGCTCTGGGGCAAGATACGGCGCAGCGCCGCCGCAGGTGTCCGTAGGTACAAGTTGTCTGATCAAACAGAGGCGCCGTCGCCAAAACGCACGAGGAGCGGGTCGGAGACGGATGACGCCAAACTGCGTGCGGGCAGCGGCGAAGGCGACGGTGAGATGACGATGAACGAGAATGATGAACGCTGCGCGCGCTGTGCGGCTGATAAATCTGTCGCGCAGGCGGGGTCAGTCAGATCCAGGGCAGCGGCCGCGCAGCGCACGTCAAGTCCTCATCCTCGAGCGGCGAGGACTGTAGCATGTACGGAGTACTAGAGGCAGAGCTCTTCCATCCCACCAAGCACAAGTACCCGAGCTGATAGGCGCAAAAGTCCTGCACCTTGGCCTCGCCTACAGTAGCTTCGACTCTGCGCGCAAGAATCCTCCCAATTTCCCTGCTGTGCAGGCCAGATCGATGATGCTCCGGGCGATGATCCGGGCAGACATCATAGGTACTAACCTGTGGACAAGCCCTTCGAAGGTCCTGAGGCAAGACGGCACGGCTGTCCTCCCGCCCCCCAGAACCGTCGACGGCTCCCACGGTTTCCAAATCTCGTCGCCTCCCGGCCTGGGTGGTCCGTTGGGCACTGCGGCGGCGGGACTGAGCGTCACCCCGCTAACTTGATGCGCCCAACACAGTCCTCCTCGCGCCTGGGGAGGCAGGGCCCACGTTACTGCGATTGTATAAAGGATGCAGAGAACGGGTTCCGCGACGAAAACAGGCGCCCTGGGCCTGAAGACAAAGTCCAATGGCCCCTCTCGACTCTTTGCAGACCGGGGCGAGCCGTTGGACATCGAAGTCGGGCATCTGGCGCTGTCGCGCAACAGGGCTCCTTGCAGGTCCTCCACTCTCATCGTGGGTGGGACCTGGACGCCCAGGACTTCCATCTAGGACTTGCGCCACCTCGAGGAGCATGTGGGCGGGGTAAGGCAGCCAGGTCGCGAGGGCCTCGTGTTTTCTGTGGGCGCCAGTTAGGCCTGACCTTCCATTGTGGCGGCGTACCCACACGCCCAGGGATTCGTCCGCCCATTCAAACTCCCGACGCCCAGAATAGCATGCGTTCGTGGCCCTCGCACATCATCCACAAAGCCAAGGCCGCAAAGTCAAGTACCGGCGAGACACGGGGACAGAGGCTGCCCCTGTGCGATAGCGTTGCGCCGTGCTCGTCCTGGCCATTCACTCAGGTCCGCAACGATCACGAACATGGCAATGTGTGGACGTGTTTCGCTTTGTGCGTCCCGGGCACACGTGGGATGAAGTCATTCACCCTCGAGGTTGACCGAAGCCGGGTATCGCGCCGGCGTCCGTTGGCGCAGCCCAACGTCAACCAGCACAGACCACGTGCCAAGCGAGCTTGCTTGTCCTGACTCGACTCCAGAAGTCGCACGGATGCGGAGCGCACGGAAACGACACCCTTTGCCAGGGGCAAGCCATGTGGCAGTCATTGTCCTGTCTGCGATGGAACCCAGCCTGTCGTCGCGAGTCTCAGACGTCAGCGTCTTGAATCGGCCAGTGGCTTGGGGGGCTGAGTCCTGCATCGCCTCGCTGTCCGCTCTGTCAGCCTAGCCACGATCGACCCGTCCCCGTCGTCAGTGGGGAGGGTCAAGACCGGACCCTTGTTTCGAAACCATCTTGCCGTTTTGCAGGGCGGCTCAGCCGCAGCAAACAACCGTTGCACGTGACCAACTGTCTTTCGACGTCGACCGGGCTTGACTCTCATTCTTTCATCGTTGGGTTCCGAGATCAGAGTGACCATTGAATCTCGAGGAGGAGGGTGACGGCGGCATCGTCGAGCCTGGTGCTGTGTTCTGTGCCACTGTGCATATAACTGCGCAGTGTGCAGTGGTGGAGGTGGACGGCGCGAATGCGATCGCTCGCTCGACAAATAGTCGAGCTGTGGTGAGAAAGGCAGACGCTCTCTCGGTTTGTCGTATTTACCGTGTGCATGAACTGCCCATGTACGCCATCTCCCGCTCCTTCCCCGATGGTCCCTTGCGGAGTGTTCCTGCCAAAGTCGGAGTGGCAACCAAATGACCTGGCTGCCCTCCGGCTGGCGAGGCGGTTGCGACCGGACGGTCACATCGTAGGTACCATGCGACGGACTGTGCAATGAGCCGAGCATAAAAGACGCCATGGCACTGTCCTACTGAAGCTGCTTCAGTCAGGCGATTCGGCGATGCGCCCAAGATGGAGTTTTACCTCGTGAATCTCTTCGTCTTCTGTGCCATCAACGTGGGCCTCATCTGCTGCCAGCGCCGACGCACACTCCAGGCTGCTCGGCGCTCCGCCAGCCACGCGACCCGAGACCATGACACTACAGAGCATGCCGGGCATCTCCACGTCCACTTCCTGGTAGTCTATGCTTTTGCCGTCGCCGCCGACTGGCTCCAGGTCTGAATTCGGAAACTGATTCACAGGAAGGGCATGAGCTGACGTGCGACCAAGGGCCCGCACATCTACGCCATCTACAAATACGAAAAGCATCTTCCAGAGGAGCTTGTTGCGCTTTTGTACGCCACTGGGTTCGTGTCTGGAGCCGTGAGCGCGCCACTGGCAGGGCAGCTTGCAGATCGCTTCGGCAGGCGACTGGGGTGTCAGCTTTACTGCTTCACTTCCTGCTCATCATGCCTATTGATCCACAGCGATAGGCTCTTCCTGCTTCTTCTTGGTCGCGTGCTCGGTGGAATCTCGACGACCCTCCTGTTCAGCGTATTCGAGACTTGGTTGATCGCCGAGTTCCACCGCCCGGGGGCAGATAGGTCAGGTATCACCCTGGATAAGATATTCGGACGCATGACGCTGGTCAGCAGTACCGTGGCCATCGTCTCCGGCGTCGCCGGTGATGCCTTGGTGGAAGCTACAGGAACTCGCATCTGGCCATTCGCTGCTAGTTCGCTGAGCTCCATGGTTGCTGGCTTCCTCATTTTGGTGCTCTGGCGCGAAAACTACGGCAATCCACCGGCAGCCAAAGGTCTAATATTCCGTCTCCATCAAGGCGCGCGGAAAGCCTTTGCGAACAAGCAAATAATGGCATTGGGTCTCGCTTCCTGCTGCCTGGAGGGAGCCATGTACTTGTTCGTGTTTTTCTGGTCGGCTGCGCTCAAAAGCGCTCGGGAGCGGGCTCGCCCTGACGAGGACGTGCCATACGGGCTCATCTTCTCGAGCTTCATGTGTTCCATGGCATCAGGATCCCTCATCCTACAAACGGTCTTTGGGGCCCTCTCGGTGGAAACCGCTGCCGTCAATGTGGGCATCTCGATGCTAGTTGCGAGTGCATGTTTCTCTGGCGCGGCCTTTTTCGAGAACGAGTCACTGATATTCTGGAGTTTCTGCGTCCTCGAATCCTGCTTTGGGGCTTACTTTCCAGCCATGGCTGCCCTCAAGAGCCAGGTTGTCGAGGATGACATTCGCGGCAGCGTCTACAGCTCCCTCAGGCTACCGCTGAATTTGTTTGTCGTGGTCGCCCACAGTCTCGACTGCGAAGGTACGTCGTCGAGGAAAGCGAAAGGGCTCAAGCTGACAGGGGTGAACTGCAGGCGACAACCATCGGAACCGCGTCTTTCTGGTACTTGCGGCTCTTCTGAATATAGCAGCCACAATAGTGGGCGGGATGTGTTTGACCTGGGCAGGCGATGGGACCTTGCTACGGGTGCATGGCGAGGTAACCTGACCCGGCCATGTCAATCACGGAATTTGCTGGGATGAAACGAGAATTATTGGCCTCGATGACGAAGAGAGCGCGATTTTTGAAAGCTGGAGTCGGACCTATTTTCGCTGCTGCCCCAGTTCCCCATGGGTCTGGTGGGCTTATGGCAGTCGGACTGGGCGGGTGTCAGGGGGGCGGTTCTGCTTGGACGGCATGCCTTGGGGGACTTTGGGGGCGATATGAGCGAAATGCAGCAATGAAGCTATCGCCAGGCAGTTGACTTTGTGATTTGTCTGCTTATGGTCCGAGTACACGGTATCCCCTTAGCAATGCCGGGGATGTCACTCAAGCCCACTGAGGCCAGTGACGGAAGGTGGGATGTGCCTGGGGTCGATTCGCCAATCGCTGGAGATGGCGGGGGGGCCAGCCCCGTCCCCAACCACGACGATGCACTGAAGGGCGCCAGGTAGGACCTCAGACACTTCCTGAGCAGCGTGCCCCCCTCCGGGAGAGAGCCAAGGAATCAAGCCACTCCTCCACCTCCTCCCCTCTCCGCCAACTTGCCGCCCAGCACGACCTGCGACGACCCCGGCTGGGACCAAAGTCGAGGCCTTGGCGCTTGCTCTGTTGACGCACGTTCAGTTGCATCGAAGAGATAACTAACTAAAAGTACTCGACTCGCCCGGGTGGGACGGCGGGCGCCCGCTGCAGACAGCCTTCACCAAGAACCGACGCCGATCGCCAGGAACCAAAACGATTCCAACGTCGCATCTGCCGTCGTCGGCCGTCCCTCGGACAGATCCAGTCGCGGCCGCAGCCGCAGCCGCATGCCGTGCCGCCGCCCGGGGCGTCGATCTTGGCCGGCCAGTCGCCTGCATGCCAGCACGCGCAAAGCACCACCACCACGGCGTCGCGAAGTCGCTCATCCCTCACGCAAGACGAGGGTGAGCCCGCCCGCTTGCGGACTCCTGACAGCGCCGTGGGTGGGAAGAGGCGCCGGCCCGGTGGTGCCACGGTGCTTTACGGGCGGTCACTGAGGTCCACCTGGCATAGACGGGGGGTTGGCGGATTCGCGGGAAAACCGGACAATTCGCCGACGGCCTCTCAGGAGAGCATTCGACGAGGCGCGCAACCGCTGACGGAGCCGGTATTCGGGGCCACGGCCACCGATCACTCACCCCAGGACGGGACGCGGCGGCATATGCGGAAACCAAGGTCCGCCGCTGGTGGGCGATGTCGACTGATGGGACGGGGCATCTGGCCGATGGTGATCCTTGCGGTTGTGGCGATTGTAAGTCTCCCCCCTCCCCCTCCTTGTGCTGTCGCGGCAAAGTCAAAGACGCTCCCTGCTGGGCGCGCTGGTTGCGGCAACGTCCAAAAAGGCCGGCCCGCGACAGCTCACGCCACGCCAACTCTCATCACGACTTGAGGCTGCGCTAGTGGGACAGCTCTCGGCGATTCTTGAAGCTGGGCCCCCGCAATGGCCCCAAACGCCCCCCCATGGTCCCGGGCTGCCGGCCGCCCATTGGCACCACTTGCATCACCATCATCGCCGTCATAATTAAGTTGCTGCAGTATATTACCCAGGCGCTCGCCGCTAACACTGCAGCAAGCTGGCGCAGCTCGTGCTCCACGACGCCAAGCTCCGTCTCCTCCAGCTCGCCTCGCCCGTCGCCGTCTTCTTCTCTCACCACTCTCCTCGCCTCCCGCCCAGACCTCGTGCCTCACCCGCCGCCGATTCCCTCGACATTGGGCCCGTCTGCCTGAATCCCGCCCCGTTCCCGACCGTCCCACCCGCCTCCCATCCTCTCACCATGGCCCTCGCAGCCGAGACGAAGCGGGTTGTCGAGCAATTCGACTTCTCCGACAGCGATGTCGACGTCCACGTTAAGGAGTTCTTGCGGCAAATGGGTATGTCGACGACGTCTTCGCGCTCCTCTCGCTGGCCGGGCGTCCCGCACGCAGGCGCTGTTGGGCCACTTTTGCTGACGTCCAGACAGACGAGGGGTTAGAAAAAGATGGCACGAGCCTCAGCCAGATCCCCACTTACGTCACTGGAGTCCCCAACGGCACAGAAAAGGTACATTGCCATGAAGCTCCAGACTCGTCGCTCGCGTGTCGCGCTGACTGAAATGCGATGTGCTCAATAGGGCCTGTACATGGCCGTCGACCTGGGCGGAACCAACTTTCGCGTCTGCGCCATTCAGCTCAATGGCGACACGACCTTCAACCTGACATACTCCAAGGTTGCCATCCCGGCGGAGCTCATGGTGGCTAAGACGTCGTCGGAGCTTTTCGCTTTCCTCGCCAAGCAGATTGAGCTGTTCCTCAAGGAGCATCATGCGGAGCGGTTCGCTAGCAACGTGCAGCGGTCCAGCACGCCCGGTGGACCCCGCGATGAGAACATATTCCGCCTCGGCTTCACCTTCAGCTTCCCCGTCAAGCAGCTGGCAATTAACAAGGGCCTGCTCATGAGATGGACCAAGGGCTTCGACATTCCCGATGCGGTGGGCAAGGACGTGTGCGCCCTGCTGCAGACGGAAATCGACAAGCTCGGCCTGCCGGTCAAGGTGGCTGCCCTAGTCAACGACACCGTTGGGACGCTTATGGCGCGCTCCTACGCGTCGACCGGCAAGCACCGATCCATCATGGGCGCCATCTTCGGCACCGGCACCAACGGTGCGTACATCGAGAAGACGGCCAACATCAAGAAGCCCATCGAGGGCGAATACGACGCTTCGACCGGTGAGATGGTCGTCAACGTCGAGTGGGGCTCGTTCGATAACCAGCTCAACGTCATGCCGACGACGCCGTGGGACAAGGCGCTGGATCTCGAGACGCCCAACCCCGGCTTCCAGATGTTCGAGAAGAGAATCTCGGGCATGTTCCTCGGCGAGCTGGTGCGACTGGCGATTGTGGACATGATGAAGAACGAAGAAATCTCGCTGTTCCGGGACATCAACTCGAGCTTCAACGACTGGATGACGACCACCAGCATCCCCAAGGAGTCGGGGCTGCTCAAGACGGGAGGCCTGGACAGCGCCATCTTGTCGGTCGCCGCCGCCGACAACAGCCCGGAGCTGTCGACGCTCCGACAGTCGCTGGAGAACACCCTCCACGTGTACAACCCGGCCCTGGAGGACGCGCAGGCCTTCAAGGCCGTCGCCGGCGCTGTCGTCCGCCGCGCGGCCCGCATGTCGGCCGTCGCCCTCGGCGCCATCGCCCTGCGGTCGGGCCTGCTCGAGGACCCCAACGAGGACGTGCTTGACATTGGCGTCGACGGCAGCCTGGTGGAGCACTACCCCTTCTTCCGTGAAATGATCTACGAGGCGCTCCCGGCCGTCGAGGGCATCGGGGCCGCCGGCGCCAAGAAGATCCGCATCGGCATCGCTAAGGACGGCAGCGGCGTCGGCGCCGCGCTGATTGCGCTCGTGGCGCAGCAGCAGGAGGGTAAATGAGCTGAGAAAAGAACCGAGGGTGGCCTAGAGGCTGGGGTCTAGCGCACGTTGGCCTGCATGGCGGCGGCAGTGATGATGACGGCTGCACAGGGAACACGACGGCGTATAGCCACGGGGCGGTCTTTGTCGCCGGCTGGATAGGCTCTGGGCGGCGTTACTCTTGTGGTCGGGCTGTGTTTGAGGATACCTGAGGGAAAGAAACGATGCACTGCATGAAGGAGGGGGGTTGTCTGACGCCGTGTAAGAAGAGTCCATCTACATACGTTACAAAGTATCCATAAAGTATCCCTTACAAGATGTATCCAAGAGGTCTTGCTTTCTCTTAAATGGCGTGGGCGCTACCGTTGGCGCTTGGCATGCTTTCAACTCAAGTATCTCTACGGCTCTTGTATATCTATGACCACGGCCGTATCTCTACCCGTCCACTTTGTCCCGTGCCCTGACGATGCGCTCGCTACTACACATTCCTCAACACGTCCCTCTCACAACGCCATGACACGCATTGGCACCTGTCATCCCCTGCCGTGTCACGCCCACGCTGACCCATCCGCCGCCGCCTCCGCCTCAGCCAGCACCTGCTCCACGTCGAGCCTCACAAACGGACTGGCCATCATCACCGCCTCCGCCTCCGCCTCGTCCGCCGCCATGCCTCCCCCGTCAGTGCCATTGCCGTTGTCGCTGCTGTCGCGATGCCCCCACCGTACCGCCGTGCAGACCATGTATTCGTCGCCGAGGAGCCACTCGAGGCGCACGTCCGCGTCGCAAACGCGCTCTCCCCGCAGCCATATCTCGAGACCTGGCGGAGTCGCCCCGTCCGCTACTGTTGTTGCTGTTGCCGTTGCTGTTGCCGGTGCGTTGACACTGGTGACCGTGGATGCAGGCGGCGGCGGAGGAGGAGGAGGAGGGGGGCGGGGAGGGGGAGCGACGTTCCGCATGTCCAGGTCGCGCAGCCAGGGCGCGAGCAGCGCGTCGCCTGTCATCTTGACGTACCCCTCGCGGAGGCACCACAGGGCGTAAAAGTGCGCGAGCATCACGTCCGTCCTGTCTTGCCCCTTGCTCTCACCAGTGTCAGCACCAGCACTAGCACCAGCATGCGTCACGCTGCCTGCGCCTGTACGTGCCAGCGGCAGTTGCAACGTCCATTCCAAGGCGCGCAGGCGGGCGGCCTCGCCGGGAGAAAACACGTCCTCGTGCATAGCCACGTAGCGCGGCCACCCCTCGCGCGAAATCATCTCGCGGTCGCGCGTGCGCCTCTCTGACGGGCAGACAATGTCGACGCCTATGGCGGTGGTGCGGGAGGGGGGCGCGGAGAGGGCGAGCAGGACGACGAGGCCGGCTTGGTGGGAGACGTTGAAGAGGAGGGGCTCCGTGTAGTCGTCCTCGTCGTCGTCGTATCCCGATCCACCGGCTCCTTCTTCCCCTCCGCGGTCCGCTGCCGTTTCCGATGCCGATGCTGGCGTTATCGCCGCCGGGCCGTCACGGCTGCGAGGGACCCGGAAGACGGGCTTGTGCGTGCGCGCGTCCCGCCCAGGCAGGGTGTCTTGCCAGGGGACGCCCGCGCAGCGCACGATGGCGAGGCGCTTGAGCAGGGCGGAGCCGAGGGCGAGCTTGGCGTCCTTGACGTGGTAGTAGCGCAGGACGCCGGAGCGCTCATCGGGAGTGAGGAGGGCGAGCGCGCGGGCGGCCTGTTTTGTTTGGCGTTGGCGATGTCAGTTAACAGGCAGACAGACGCTGCTCAGAGGGCAACAATGCGAAACAGGTGAATGAGGGGGAAAACAAAGAAGGGCGTGAAAAAGGATGAGGGAGGGGGGGAATGCGCACCGCGGAGGAGAGGTCCTTTGTCTGCTTGGCTTCGGGCCAGAGCGGGCGCGTGTCGAGAACCCATTTGATGAGGGTTGGCGTCGTCGTCGTCGTCGTCGTCGGGATACCTGGCCGCTGCGGCGGCGTTTGGCTGCCCATGATGGTGGCGGGGTTTGGCCGTGGCGGCGCGCCGCGAAGCAATTACAGACGAAAGTGAAAAACGCCGCTATCGTGGGTGAGCGTGGTGCGGAGAGGCTGCAGCGGACATGACGGGACGCTTCGTGTAACTGCGTTGGCGTATGAGGTGAGGCGGAGGTGAGGTGAGGTGAGATGCATGAGTAACACGGACGGATGTTGAACAAAGAACGGGTGGGCGGGCATGTGCTGGCGCGAGCGGCCCGCGTCCAGACGGACCAACGTTGCAGCACTGCATACAGTCTGTAGCCACGACCCTGCGTCAAGACGAGAACATGGGACAGAATTCAGTACAACAAGAAACGAAAGCATTGAATGCAATCAGCAATGCAGGTGCGTCTATATTTGGTCTTTTGCAGAGTCTCTTTCATCTATAGTCGTTGGTATATGCGTGTCATCCATCCCGTCTGCGTCTAGCTACTACCCCTCCGCTCCCTGCCCCCGGCCTACGGCGAACCATCCGCATGCGCATCAGCTCCCAAACGCCGCCGCAGGGTATGACCGGTCCCTCTTCTTGCGCACAGTCGAGCTGCTCCGCGAGCTGGCACTGGACCCGGGCTCGCTGCCGTTCTTCCGCGGCGGCGCGAGCATGCCGGGGGCCATGTCGGCGGGCAGGTCGTTCCACTCCGTCTCGGCCCGTTGGTTCTGGTACGACTGGCCGCGCGAGAGGCCCGGCGGGGGCGTCGACGTGCTGCTGCCGCCGTTGGATGGGGGAGGGCCGCTTTGGGGAGGCGGGGGTTTCGTCGTCTGCTGTGGCGGGAGGTTCACAACGGCCGCGGTGGTGCTGGCTGTGATGGTGGATGGGGCTTCCGTCGGCGGCGACGTGGCCGGGAGGGAGCTTCGCACCGATGCGCCGACGTCGCGGTGGACGAGATATGCAGAGCCGGGGCGCAGCTTGAGGTAGTACCCCTCGATGGCCGGTTCCTGGCGCTTGAACCCCCGTGCCTCGTACCAGTGGAGGCCCTCCTCGTTCTGCGTCCACACGTGTGCCGTGACGGTGCCGACGCCCAGCGCGGGGTTCGCCATGGCTGTCCCGATGATGTTGTCCAGCGCGGCATTGATGAGGCCCAGGCCGCGATACGGCGAGAGCAGACACAGCGACTGAATGTATAGGTTCTGCGGGACCCGGCCGTCGTCTTGCCCGCGCCCCGTGCTGCCCACCGACAGCAGCGCGGGCTCGACGCGGCAGACGACCCCGCCAACGACCTTGGGCTCCTCGCCGTCGTGCGCCCAGGTGATGACGCGGGAGAAGGGCCCCGACTCGGCCGGATCGATGGCGCGCGCGTAGAAGGCGTCGGGGTAGCTGACGGGCAGGAGGAGGGCGTTGATGCGCCGCAGGGCGGTCGTATCGGCGAGGGTGACGGGGCGGATCGCGGCCTCGCGCGGGAGGGACGCGGGCAGGGGCGGGATGGCTATCGGCGACGCGGGCGCGCTGATCGGGTGTTCGGCTCGCATCTGTGACTGCATCTCCGGCTGCGCGGCGTGTATCGCTGTCGCGTCGCCGCCCGTGGACGTCACGGCGCCCGTCGAGGCATCTCTCGAAGTCGGTGGCGGGGCGTACTTTGGTGTTTTGGCGGTGAAAAAGGAGCGGATCGAGGACTGCGCCGCGGGGGCCTTGCTGGAGGGCAGCGACATGGTGCCCGAGCGGCGAGTAATATGACCGCGCGAGAGGGTTCGATGAGGATAAAGAGCGGAATGCGGGTGGAAAGGAGAGGGAAAGAAGAGTTGGACCCAGTGTCGCGAGGTGGGAGACGAGAGCGGCGGAGGGGCTTATACGTGCCCTGGAAGTGCCGAGGCGGGCGGGCGGGCAGGGCTGCCCCTGTGCGGCGTGGCAACTGGAGTTGGAGGTGCATTGGCGCTGTGGCCCCTGTGGCCCGCCGGCCCTGGCACTGACCCTCAGCGGGCACTGGGGCTGCAGCCGTCTGGGCTGGCCTCCATGTGAACGCTGGCGGGACCCGACGCATGCGGCCAATCGCAACGGAAGGAATGAAAGGGCAGCTGTCAGCTCTCTCAGGGACGGGGGACGGGATACGACAGGAACACTTCTTAGTTAGTTTGTTGCCGTATTCGTGCAAATCAAATCAGCTTTCGCTAGGCGGATTGCGAGCAGTGAATAGCTCTTCGTGAATAGTTCTTCGTCTCCGTTGGGATAGGCTGTGCTGAATGCAGTGATTATGGAGAACTGGCAGTTGGTCTTCAAGATCCATCCATAGGTTGCGCGACGTCATTGACTGGGTCGCTGGCCGGCGGCTTGCTGCTGTGTCCAGAGACTAAGAAACACAAACGAGCCGGCGCAGCGATCAGGAATTGCCCAGGGAACAGCATGGAGAAAGAAACAGAGATCGTCGCACGCGCTCATCGCGAAGCAGCGCCTTTGCTCTGCGTGGAAACAATGGAACGAACCAGGCTTGACGCTGCGCAGTACCCTGTGCGCGATCAAGATGCTCGTCCGCTGCTCCGGCGGCGACATGGCGCTCGGCGATTTGACCTGCAGGGCGGCAGCAGCCAGGCGGCGCAAGGGCGGCAGTGGCGGCCCATCAGGGGACATGGCATGCCCGGGCACCGGGGTCTGGGTTCCAACTTCTGGGGGCCAGCTGGGATGGTATGCACCTCATGTGGTGGGATCAAAACCCGTCTTTTCCATCTTCCTTTCAGGGTCCTCGTCCGTCATCGCACCTCGTCGTATCCCATCGGCTCGCTTCCCTGCCGGCCCTGGCTCTTGGCTGCCAAGCTGCGCATCCCCCCGACTCGTCTGGGCGTGCCGAGCGACACTTGCGCCATCTACCTTGGGCGCTCATCCGCCCTGTGTCTCTTGCTGCTGGAGAGCTGCGATACCCACTGGACAAGGTGCTGCAGAACCTCTTGGTAGGCGACGACACCCCTGGTGGTCGGTCCGTCCATCCCCATCCTGCGAACTACTGCTGCTCCATAGGGCGAGTCAGGGCAGACGGAGCCTCCGAGCCTCGCACGGTGGGAGACGCATGCGTTGACGTGCCTAACACCCGGTTTTATAGTCCTGTGTCCCTTTTGGCTTGTCCGCATCGCCCACCCATCCCGCACTTCTTTCAAGTCGCCGTGCTGCCAGCCTCGAACTGCCCGCTCTTGACTTCTGTTGGAGGACACACAGCGGCGGCGCTGCGGAGCCGCAGCAGCACTAAGAAGAGCCCTGGAGAGCGCCCCAGCCAAGAAACCCACCCCCGAAAAAAAATCCACCCCCGAGACTCGAGGCGCAACCTCCACTATTACCAGCCGACTTCACTCCACCGAGCGAGCAGATCAGAACCACACCACGGCCAGACGCCAAACCAAACCACACCAGCAGACACCACCAACGCACCACACAACGCGCGCGCGCACGCACGCACGCACGCCCCGAAAAAGCCACGCCCCGACGCTGCTGCCAGCACGGCTCCACCGCCCAGCCAGTCGCGGCTCGCTGCTTGTCAGATTTCCCCGGCCGATAGTTACCTTAATTCCACCCTGTCACTCGGGTCTGGTCGGCAACAGCATCACACGACTGCCGTTGCACGCCGTGTCGACGAATCCATCAGCCTCTCTCCATCCCTTGCTGCATCGGGGGAGGCGTCCTTTTTGCATCGAGGGCAAGGAGGCGCCATGAACTCTACCACGGGGCGGGCCGGCGTCATCCGCGCCCGTGATGATGCAGGCAACATGGACAAGCTGGTAAGTCCTTTTTTGCCCGCCGCCTGCGGCCGTCCATCGCCCTGCCCACGGCGACACGGCCGTCATCGCCTGCGTCCCTCGACGAGGCCATCATCGCCTGCGCCTCGCCGCGGCCTCCCCGCCGTCGCCGCGCCCGAATTGAACCCTCCCGCTGACGCTGTTGCGCTTGCTCCCTCCCCGCGCCTAGGCCCATGCCATCCTCGATGATGTCCTCTACAACGTCCTGTCCGACCTGGTCATGAAGACGCACCGCGAAGAGAAGACGGCCCGCGCCAACACGGCCGCCATCCGCGTCGAGAAGCTTGCCAGCGACGCCTCGGACACCTCCGTCCCCGACGCAAAGCCCGACGTCCGCGTCGAGACCGACGCCGCCATCTACGAGGATGGCAAGGTCCTCCTCAAAGGCAACCCCCTCCAGACGACCCAAGACATCCTCTGCCCCAAGTGCCACCTGCCGCGGCTATTATACCCGACCGACGGCAAAGGCGCCCGGAAGCCCGACCCGACCGTCATCTACTGCAAGAAGCACCCGTACATAGACAAGCCCGGCTGCGACATCTACGGCCAGAGCTGGGTCGCCCCGGGCCCCGGCCGCGGCAAGAAGAAAAAGGACATGGAGAAGAAGGACGGCACCGACTCGCCCGCCACCCCCGAGCAGCGGCCCCCCAATGTGCTCTCGTTCCCGTCGGCCACCTGCAGCAAGTGCAAGCGCTGCATCCTCGTCACCCGACTGAACAACCACATGGGCTCGTGCATCGGCAACAGCGGCCGCAACGCCAGCCGCGCCGCCGCGCAGAAGCTCAACAACGGGGGCTCCCAGCACGACTCGACACCGCCGTCGTCCCAAAAGGCCACGCCCGCCCCCGGCTCCCGGGCCTCGAGCCCGCGGAAGCGCGACGCCAGCGACGACGACGGCGCCGACTCGGACAACAGCCACAAGAAGAAGAAGCTCAAGCCCTCGGCCAGCATGACGAAAAAGGTCATCATTAAGAGCAAGCCGATGCTGAAGAAGGAAAAGTCCAAGGGCGCCTCGCAGCTGAGCCAGGAGCAGAAGCTCGACGACTCGGACACGCCGCATCTGACGCCCCGGAAGGGCACGCCTAAGATGGCCCACAAGGACGGCAGCCCGCTGAAAAAAGTCAAGGCGGCCAAGCCCATGACGAGCTCGCCAGTGTCTAAGAACGGGCGGGAACCGGACGGCGAGTCAGAGTCGTCGGGAACCCTGTCGTCACCGCCCGGCAAGTGAGCCAATCTCTACGACTACTGGCACGTACATAGCATACTGCCATGCTCGGACACTGCGACGAGAGCTCACCACCGAGGAGTGAGCGCTTGACGTGGCTCCGAGGCAGGCTCGCCAAATCCGTCACCTCGGCTGTGCGCCGCTATGCGCCGCCGAGGCTTGGATACGACTGACAGGCGGCGCCCGCAACCCAACTATACCACGAAAGTGCCGCATGTCGCCGAGTTTTTTCTTTTACTATTTCTCGCCTTTCCGCGACTCATGTACTATTTTCCTTTTTCAACTCTGCATTGGACGAGCGGCCGGGTTGGCTAAAGAGGGCGAGGGAGAGACATAGCATCCACGGACGGCAAACAGGGTCCACGGCGTCTGGAGTGTGAATGAGTCTTCTTTGTTGACGTGATAACTTATGACACCTGGTGAATAGAACACCGAGGATTTCCTCAGCCGCTCTGCAGACTTGAGACTTTGTGACTGTGATTTCTGGGGACGTGTATACCGTACATACTTTGAGTTGATGGATCGAGATTTCTGAACAGCTTGCGGGTGGAGGTTGGGTGGGAGTCGAGCTGCAGTTGTTAGTCAGGCGAGGTTACACAAAGTCGGGCGCGTCGACTGTGAGGAGCGCGTCTCGACTCGTCGCTCCGGTGATGTACTTTCCCACTTACGTGCCTTGGCGAACAACTACAAAGCCAAGCACGCTCGAACCTCGGCCACCACCATAGCAAGAGACAATCCCTTGGCCTGCCAACAGGAGAGCTGGCTCAGGCTTACCTTTTGCCGCGGCCAGATGGAGACCCCGACGAAAACCCGCGCCCACCTGTGGTCCAGGATCGACGGCGTGACCAAATGGAACGGCCGGCTCTACTGTCCCTGCGGGCTCGAGATGCGCAAGAACCGCTCCCAGGACGAGCGGCGTGAATTTCTATGTAAGCCTCAACTAACCTTCTCTGACTTATCTAGCTACTAAGTACCATGGCGTCTTCTGGCACTGACTGCACTTGGGTTATGTGTTTCTTTGCTGATCCCCTGGCGTAAACGCAGATTATGGCTGCCGGAAGCCCTTCGCGGAGCAGTGCAAGCGCAAGGTCGAGCCGACTGAGGTTGAGCAGGTCGTCGCGCTCGTCCCTGAGAGGGAAAGGGTAGAGCCGTCGACGCCTCGTGGACAGAGCACGATTCCTCAGTACTTCCACCGCATTCCCAAGGGAGACTCCAATACTGGCACCCCTGACGCCGGGAGCCACTCGAGACGTGTTGTCGGTATGCTATACTTGTCCCGCTCTTCGATTGATCTTTTCTCGTCCTCCTTTGTTTTTTGATCCTGGCTTTGGAGCTAATGAGCTTGTACGTGTTGAACTAGGCCTTCCGACTCCCGTCGAGACCCCCTCGCGTTCCGCCGTGGCGCTTGGTCGACGCTCGGTCGAGTACCACAGCAAGACGAGGGGAACGAACGGCAGTGCTTCGGGAGGGAAGAGGGCCTGCTCACTGGGTGTTGTGGGCGGTGATGTCGAAGAGTCTCCTTCGAGGAGGAGGCAGAAACGTATCATGGACAGCAGGGCGCGGGGCGGTAACGGGTCTGGGTTTGCGCGCTCGTTGCGGGAGCTTCGCGACAGGGCGGGCGGTCGATCGGAGGCGCGAGGTGATGCCGTGAGCGTGTCAACGGGCGAGCACCTTGAAGGCAATTCATCCCGTGTCGAGGGGCAGAGACTGCGGCGGCAAGGTCGGGATGGGACTGCAAATGCATCGGGGTCTATGAATGGGAACCCGCCTGACGGAGCGATGACTTGATGCCTCGTTCGTTGAGGATCTGACACGGTGCGCCTTGCGCTGCTGGTCTTCTGTTTCAATTGTCCTGTTTCTCATGTATGATGACTTACGAAGTATGGGAAAGAGATGATGACGGAGGACACGAAGATTGAGCACAGGATCGTCGTCTCCGAGTGTCTTGGTAGTTTTTGTCTTTTGCATAAACAGGGTCTTCATCTTTGCGCCACAGATACAGAAGGGGAATGAGGAGAGGAAGTGAGTAGGAAATAGAATGACACAAAAGAATGGCGCACTTGATGACCACCCATCTGTTCGGATTGATGTCTTGTTGCTTTTGGTGGCGTGCCCGTCGTTAACGACGCGACGCGCTTTACTTGGCTTCAAATGCCCTGCGACAGGGTAATACTAGCAGCAGAATCGGTCTCACAAGGCCCATGTATTGAAATGCTTTTCCAGAAATCCGTAACGCCAAACATCACAGCTCGCTCCACGAACCCAAACCCCAGTCTATACGATAAGCC